CTTGGCCTGCTGTGTTCATCCAGCCCTGCACCTTGTTGTCCCCGAGGAAAACTTTATTTTTATCTTCCGTTGTCCTATTTTACTTATCTTTCTGTGCAAGTAGTTCTTCAGCCTTTTGCTTTTCTTGGTTGTGTCAGGCTTCAGTGTATTTTTTGAAAGGGATCTACTTTCTCACAGTATAAGCATTCAGTTTTATAAGCTAGGCACTGTTTACATTTATAAAGTTTCTTTGCTCGACAGCATTGTGTCATGGTCGGGGGCATAAAGAAAAGCCCCAAAGGAAACGGTGTTTCTTTCTACATTTTCATTATTTTTGAAATTTTCATTTCAAATTTGTTCCTTTAAAAAACACTGACAAAATTGCTGGACTCATAAGTGGCCAAAACTAATCACATGATCATAATTTCTGAACCCCTTCATTGTATAGACATCCCAGTTAAAGCTGACAGAAAGTCTTGATGAAGGGTCTAGGCCCGAAACATCGACTCTCCTGCTCCCCTGATGCTGCCTGACCTGCTGTGTTCCTCCAACTCCACACTGTATTGATCATTTTCTATAGATTGCCTTGGGTAGAATTCCAATGAGTGAGTACATTGCAAAGTCTACCTCTGTGCAACATACCTAGAATATAATGCTGCATTGGTTGGGATGAGTGGTTTTCCTGGCTGCATGGGGTTTCTGAAGGTGCCGGTGCTATATTGCTGCAGTAAATGAGTATGATGTCTAATTGTCATATCTACTGCAACTTGTAATGACAAAAATTGTTTAGATGATATCTAAATATAAATAATATACAATATATAACACCTCTACAATACCTCCAGTACTTCAGTAACTTGAAATATAGTGTGGGGCTGTTTTCCAGGAAAGCTCACAATTTGTGCACAGTAAGATCCCACAAAAAATGAAATTCTTACAACGACAAGCAAAGGATACTAAAGCACAGAAACAGGTCCTTCAGCCCACCAAGACTGCGCTGACACATGATACTTTCTAAACAAAAAACCTTTTGCCTCTACACAGCCTGTATCCCTCTATTCCCCACCTATTCATTATTCTATCAAGATGCTCATAAACGTTGCTGTTGCATCCGCTTCCACCGCCACAGCGCATTCCAGGCACTTACCACCCTCTGTGCATCAATTTTCATATGCTATGCCCCAACCAATGCTATATGCCTTCTTGACCACCTTGTGTTGCCAGTTTCAGGGAACTGTGGATGTGTATGCCTAGATGCCTCTCTATGTTGATGCTACTATGGGTTCTGCTATTTACTGTATAACTTCCCTCCTGCATTAGATCTTCCAAAATGCAACAGCTCGCATTTGTCTGGATTAAACTCCATTTGCCATTTCTCCACCCATGTCTCCAGCCTATCTATATTCTGCGTATCCTCTGGCAATCCTCCTCACTATCTGCAGCTCCTCCAATCTTTGTGCAGTGCGCAAACTTACTAATCAGGCCATCCATATTCTCCTGTAAATCATTTATACGTATATTACAAATGACATTGTCCCAGCACTGATCCCTGTGGAACACCACTGGTCACAGATCTCCAATCAGAAATACGCCCTTCCACCGCTACTCTCTGAATCCTATGACTAAGTCAATATGACTTAGCTTGAACCTGATGTTTCGGTGATATTGATTGATAGATATGCTTTGAACAGGACTCCCCTATTTGACTGGCGCCTGATGGAATCTTTTGAAGCCCTTCGGGGGTCTCCAACAGCGCAGTACCCCTTGAGCACTGGCCCGGAGTGCCAGGCTGTATTGCCAAGCCTCCTCCTGGAACAGCGTGTGGCCGGGACTTGTGTGCATTTTGAGCAGGCGGTTGGCAGAGGTTTCATTGAGTGTGTGGCCCGGGGCAGGGGGAGGAGCTGTGCCCTGCTCTTGTCCCGGCAGGTGAGTGTGTGAGGGAGGGAGGGAATGCTGCAGTTAGTCAGAGGCTGACGCTGAGCCCACCTCACCAGGTACATACCTGCACCGACACAGAGAGAGAGAGAAAAAAACAAGCTGCAAACTCCAGCACCGACTCTATTCGGGCTGTAGTCCGCCAGGAGATTCAGAAACTTCTCCAAGTGCAAAGGAATTAACTGGATCCCTTTCAGTATTTAACAAGGTTACAGCAGCCGGGCCGATCATCCACTGGAGGTAGGTGAATGCAGTAGTTTGTGGGGTGTGGGGGGGAACTGGGAGTTCAGCTGCAAACACCACCCCCCCCCAAAAAAAACCCGCAGGAAAGGGGCTGGGAAAGTGGAGCTCAGGGATTCAGGGCTCAGGTACCTCCGGCAGCCGGGATGGATGGGCTTAAACATTGACCAGTTACAGTCTGTAACCGCCCACCCCACGCCTCCCCGTCCCCCCACAGCCCCCATCCCACAGCGACCCAGAGGCCGAGCATAGGTACCCGCAGGAGGCGCCCTGATCCCGGGGGATCGCATCCTGATCCCGAGAGTTTGCACCCTTATCCAGGGGGATCGCACCCTGATCCCGAGAGTTTGCGTCGTGATCCCGGGGATCGCACCCTGATCCCGAGAGTTTGCACCCTTATCCAGGGGGATCGCACCCTGATCCCGAGAGTTTGCACCCTTACCCAGGGGGGTCGCACGCTGATCCCGAGAGTTTACACCCTTACCCAGGGGGATCGCACACTGATCCCGAGAGTTTGTACCCTTACCCAGGGGGATCGCACCCTAATCCCGAGAGTTTGCATCCTCATCCCGGGGGATAGCACCCTGATCCCGAGAGTTTGCACCCTGATCCCGAGAGTTTGCACCGTGATCCCGAGAGTTTGCATCGTGATCCCGGGGGATCGCACCCTGATCCCGAGGGGATTCCTGTCCAATCCCGACAGGTTCGCACCCAAATCCTGGAGATTCCTGTCTAACCCCGGGGGGTGAAATCCTGCCTGGTCCCTCTCTCGGACAGTTCTCCCGGATTTGCCGGCTTAGAAGGGAGCGATGTTTCCGAGGTGTTTGCGGGATTCGGAATATTTCAGGAAGATCTTTGTATTTGCTGCGGGGGTGTGGGTGGGGGGTTAGAGTTTGCTCTCGGTGAAGCCGAGCCTCCGCCCACAGCCTTTAGCGCACTGTCCCCTTCCCTCCCCTCCAGGGGTCGCTCACTGGGAAGGGAATGGACTGGGGACCCATTCACTGGGATAGGAGGGTGTTGGATTGTGGATCATGGTGGGGGGGGGGGGGGGGCAGGTTGGAGGGTATTTGGTGTAGGTGTCACTTACAGAGTTGGGTAGGAAAGTGTTGGGTCGGCGGGTTACTCAATGGGATAGAAGGGTATTGGGTCAGATACTGAATGCAGTATAAGGCTGATGGGACTAGGTTAACTGTGAAAATTTCCATTGGTTCAGAATTTTTGACAGAAGGTGAATGTTTTCTGAAACTGACAGGAAGTTTGCAATTTCACTGGAGATATTGAATGCAGTATAAGGCTGGGCCTTCCCTCCAAGTTGTGTCACACACCATGTTTCTTCCTCCCCCTCCACTGGGCAGTAGTGAGAGGGTTTGACTTTCCTCATGATTCCCTGCCAACGTGAACCTTATCCTATCCTTAACTGGCACATAGACATTGTAGGAGCAATGGGCTGGACATAAAACTTTGACTGGCATCCATGGCTTTCCACAGCAATGGATAGAACTTACATTCATTAGAAACCTTTCTGCACCACGGGGACAATGGGCTCCTCCTGTGCTGTAGGATTCACCAGTGATTCTTATCAACAGTTCAGGTATATTAAGGTATTTCAAAGCCAGTTAATGCTTTGAAATGATGGTTATTGTTAAATGTAGGAAAAGGAAGATGGCAGAGGTGCAGTTTGAGGTACAGTTCCACTGCAGCTAACAACCCTCACCCAAGTGACCAGTTATTTTGGGGATGTTTCTTGAGAGATTCTTGTGGGGCACGAATCCAGAACATTCTAGCTCAGAGCGAAAAGTATGACAGTGACAGCTGAGCCCAGTCATACTGTCCCTGTTACTATGCTGGCCCAGATCAGCACATTCATCACAGATTGGGGTTGAATATAGAGCATTTTGGTTTGCACCTTGCAATGTTAATCTATTGTGAAGCTATCATCATCTCTTTCATTTAGCACCGCATGAGTGACTGCTTCTGTAATATTTATTTGGAAAACTCACTCTGTTTTAACAGCTTGGATTGCTCTGAATCTGTCGATTTTCTGCTCAACCCATGTTCTATAGCTTATTGGTGATCTTTATACTCCACGGTTCCATTTGTAGGTTATAGTTTCTTCTCAGTATGTAAACCACACATTGTCAATTTGTTTGTATAGTACAGTGTCCGTTCAGTTCTGATTCGCCAGTTCATCCCTGAAGAAGACTCCCTGCCACTCTTTGAAAGATCACATTTGTCTTCCTCTTTTATTTCTGATTGGTTAAAACTTCTTCCTGTCACTCTTGTCTTTTTAAAGAGTAACAAACTATCGCTGAGGGATAAATATTCTCTCTGTAAGAGGTTAAGATCTATCCAAGAGATAAAGATCACTCTCTAAATATATAAGGAGCAAAAACCTTTCTACCTACAGATGACAAATTCTGTACCTGGTGAAGATTTTCTCTCTAAGGGGTGAAAATGTCAACAATGAGCATCTTTCTCTCTGAGTGTTAAAGATTCCATCTTTCATGAGCGTTAAATTGTTCTCTCCCTGTCTGCAGTATGGTGATTGCGAAGACACTGTACCTTTGCCTCCGCAAGCTGGAATCAAATCTGTGTGATATAGATAGACACACACTTCCACTTTCTGTGAACTGGGGACATTCTCCAGCTGTGTGCTTGGGCAGGTTCTATCCTGTCTCCCAATGAGTGGAGTTCAGCTGCTGCTGTCTGCACTCGTTCAGAGATGAATAATGTGAATCACAGAAACATGCACTATGCTGAATTAACTGGATAAATGTTTGAGCAATACAGATAGGCCTCTCCTCAGCAAATCCAAAAACATAAAAAGCAATAATAAGAATATGAGAAATAAAAACTGGAGCCTGTACTGCCAAAAATACACCACTAGCCCCTCTTTCCAGCACTAGGCCTATTGTCTTGAATGCTATGACACTTTAAAGGCTCAGCCAAGAACTGTTTAAAGGTGCTGAGGTTTCTTGCCACAATTACCTGTCCAGGCAGTGCATTCCAGACCCCCACCACCCTCTGGGTGAAGGATGTTTTCCTCAAATCCCCTCTTGTTATTGAACTTTTAACTAAGGGGAACAGCTGCTTTCTATCCATGCTGTTCATGCCCCTCGTAATCTTATACACCCCTGTCAAGAGCAAAACCAGAGGCTGTTGGAAAAGCTCAGCAGATCTGGCAGCATCTGTGAAGAAAAGACCAGAGTTAACGTTTCGGGTCCGGTGACCCTTCCTCTATCAGGTCCCACCTCAGCCTTCTCTGCTCCAAAGAAAACAACCCGAGCTTACCCAGCCTCTCCTAATAGCTGAAATGCTCTATCCCTGACAACATCCTGGTGAATCTCCAGTGTAATCACATCCTTCCTTTAGTCTGATGACCAGAACTGCACACAGTATGCCAGCTGTGGCCTAACCAAAGTCCTGTACAGCTCCAACATAACCTCCCTGCTCTTGTAATCTATACCTTGACTGATAAAGGCAACTATGCCAATTCCTTCTTACTACCCTATTAACCTGTCCTGCCATCTTGTGGACAGGCACCTAAAGATTTCTTTGTTCCTCTGAGCTCCCTAGTCTCCTACCATTCATTAAATACACCCTTTTATTTTTAAGTACACCCTTATTTTGAACCATCTTCAAAGTGCATCATCACACATTTAATAAAGTAAAATTCCATTTGCCACTGATCTGCCCATCTGACCAATCCATTTATATTGTCCCATAACCTAATACCTTCCTCCTGTCAGTGATCGGCCAATCGTTGCGACATCCACAAACTTACTTATCATTCGCTCCCATATCCTCATCTACATCATTTAAGTGGTTTTAACCGGCTCAGTGGTTAGCAGTTCTCCTTATTAATATCCGGTGGCTGGTGCCAAAATTGGGAGAGATGTCTCACAGATTAGTCAAGCAACAGACTGACAGACAATGTACAACACCACCATCACCATCCCTGGATATGTCCCGTCCCACCGGCAGGACAGAGCCAGCAGAAGTGGCATCATGGTGCTATATAGTCGGGAGGGTGTTGCTCTGGGAGTCCCCAACATTTACTCCGGACCCCATGGAGTCTCATGGCTTCAGCTGAAACATGGCAAGGAAACCTCCTGCTGATTACCACGTGCCATTCTCTCTCGGCTGATGAATTGATGAACATGTTGATTCAAGTTGAACAACACTTGGAGGAAACACTAAGGATGTCAAGGATGCAAAATGTCATTGTCCACCAAGATTTCAATGTCCACCAGTAGCATTACTGATCGAGCTGGTCAGGTCCTACAGGACATAGCTGCTAGACTGGGTCTGCAGCCAGTGGTGATGGAACCAACAAGAGGGAGAAACATACTTAACCTAATCCTTACCAATCTGCCAGCTGCAGATACATCTGTCCACAACAGTATCGGTAAGAGTGACCGCCACATGGTCCTTGTGGAGACAGAGTCCTGCCTTCATGTAACCTCCACTGTGTTGTGTGGCACTATCACTGTGCTAAATGGGACAGACTTTGACCAGATCTAGCAACTCAAGACTGGGCAACAATGAAGAGCTATAGGCCATCTACAGCAGCAGTACTGAACTCCAGCACAATCTGTAACCTCAGGCCCCACATATCCCCCACTCAATCATTACCATCAAGCCAGGGGATTAACCCTAGTTCAATGAAGAGTGCAGGAGGGCATGCTAGGAGCAGCACCAGGCATACCTGAAGATGAGGTATCAACCTGGTGAAGCCACCAAACAGGGCTACTTGCACGCCAACCAATCGCAAGTGATAGACAGAGCTAAGCGATCCCACAACCAATGGATCAGATCTAAGCTCCGCAGTCCTGCCACATCCAGTCATGAATGGTGGTGGACAATTAAACAACTCACTGGAGGAGGAAGAAGCCCCTCAAATATCCCCAACCTCAATGATGGAATAGCCCAGCACATCAGTGCAAAAGATAAGGCTGAAGCATTTGCATGAATCTTCAACCAGAAGTGCCGAGTGGATA